ACAAACTCATCATCAAGCGCAGATGAAAGTGTCGTGTTTCTCACCGTGGGTGAATTTCTTGACTAAGAGAACGTTACATCCGTCTTATATTTGTGGTATCGATCGACAGTAACTAAATACCCTACAACTGGCTAGTGCCACTACCATATCACTGAGTTAGCTGGTATACTACAAGAATCTGGAGTCGAGTTGGCTTATCTAGTTATAGCAGTGAGATATCGATTTTGGTACAAGGTATTGGCCTATAGAGGTCCACCAAGGCTCACGCGTGCATCGTAGCGTAACTTCTCCCGCAACAAAGCTACACCCCTGATAAAATGGTCTTATTCCTCCCATTTATTATCGCTCTCGTAGCTGCCTCAAGCTTTCCGTCTGAGCTATCGAAGAAAGGTAAAACATTATGCCCCAAGGGCAGTGGAAACCAGGAGTATGGATACGTGCAAACAAGCCCCTTGCATAGGTTGGTGAGTCTGGATCCGTTGCAGATCATTACAGGTGTGCTGCTGCTATATCTGTACCAGGTACTTCTACACTATCATACAGGCCGATGGCAATCCTAAAACAGCACAGACTTTCTTATACATCTCTGGTGGTCCCGGTGCCAGCAGCCTTGGAATTATGTTGACAGCTAACGGACCATGTCGCATGGATGAGGATTCCCTCATCGAAAACGAGTTGGGTTATGCACGTTCAGTAGCCCGTAGACGCTTCCGGTGCCCTAGGTTCTCATGGACGAGACAAGCTAACGGTATCTGGGTCGATGCACCGATACCTACAGGTTTCAGTCAAGGACCTATCGGTGCCGGATGGGAGAATCTAATATTAGACCTGTGAGTTCACGCAACAACAGCAATGATGATCCAGTCGGATTTCTTTTAGGGTGGACTTCGTCAAAAAGTTCTTCGAAGAACATAAAGACCTAAACAATGGCGTGCATCTAGTCGGCTTCTCGTCGTCGGGTAAACTCCGAGGCGATCACATCACCGGCAATAAGTGTATAAACCCCCCTCCCCTCCCCTCAGCCCAGATGATGGCAACGTTGGGGGCACGGCTGGTCAAGTCTGTCGGCTTCAAGGTCAATCTGGTTGGAGTGATGATGCTTTCTGGAATGGTAGCGCCTCTAGCTACGTAAGGTTGTTGTGACATGTGGCATGTGTGATGAGGACCATCCCAGATATCAAGGATGCTTACAGATGGCACGGGACCACAAACTGCTACCCTCGGCAGAGTTGAGTCGTTTTCTCACTGATTTAGTCGTGGAGTTGCACTTTCTCTCAGCATCGACCAGATGAAAGCAGGGCTGGTCCAATGTAAAGATCGACTAGCTGAGTGCAATCGTAATGGCCCCGGAGGGACTCCGATCTCAGGTGAGCTCAAATAATGAATTTCACGTCCGAGGTTAGCTCCCGACATTTAAACGTGGGCCATCTACGGAGATATTCCCCCAACGAAATGATGTGCAT